GAGTTCAGGCACATCCATATATCATCACAGTGCCAGAAAGATCTCACACCTTTCAAGTGGCACCAACTCCACTGTCTAAAACAGATTTTGAAGCTGTCATCTGAAAATACACAATTAAAACCTACCTTGTATGAGATTATGGGAAACATTAATTTACCGTTGTATGCTTTACCTAGACATGAAAAAATACTGAAGCCTTATCTACAAACATTGCTTTATAAAAGTAAAAGCAAGTATCATTTCTCCTGCTGTGCCAAGGAAGATGCAGAATGAAAACATTACTTGTAGCTGTTCCGCAAAGTAGTGGCGGAGTTCACATCAAGAATTTATTTCCCATCATTCTCCTTTTTTTACTAGGCTATCCATTGATATGTTCACAAAATTAAATCCAGCTCTGCACAGAGGCTTCATGACTGACCATCGCTTAAAGGTATCAGTTATTGTTCAGTATCTGTTACTGTTCCCCTGATTTAATAAGAGCCCTTGCGGGGGGAGGAGGGAGAGAGGGAATTAAAAAAGCTGTGTACTAACCTGTCTCCAGTTAATGGCATAATGACGTGTGCCTGGGTGGAAAACACGATAAACGATAATCTCATCTTGGGGCTTTTAAAAAAGGGAAAGAGAGGAAAAAAAAAAAAAAAAACACATTTTAGACAAATTAAGAGAAATGTACAGATGCACAACATTTCATTCACTTATTCATGCTTCATTGGTATCATCTTTACCCTCCAACTTTCAAAGAACATACTTTTGAACTACAAACCCAGAGTAAGAGAGGAATTCAAAGGATTTCTGCCCATCTGCTCCTTACCCAGATGCTTCGAAAATTAAGTAGCAGAATTATTGTTCTTTCTTGTCTGACTAGACTCCAGATCAAGACATGCTAAGCTTAACAGTGAAGATGTCGCGCGATGCAACTGAAAGTGAACTTCATAGGTTGTGATCTACCAATGTACAGAAGGTAACACATCCTTTTACATTGTCATGATCACTGGTGTAAAAATAAGTCAGTGACGTACATTCAGGGTGCGCTCTTGCGTTGGGGTATTAAACACAGACACATTCAAAAGTCAGTTTCCCCTTTTTAAAGGTTGATCATGACACAACATAAATTTCAAATTGTGGTTTTTGGTCATAAAATCATCAAAGTCAAAGAAACAGTGCCTTCCAACTGATTCACCTCCGAAAAAGTAGCGTGACAAACTCTTTCAGAATGAGTATGTTTTTGTTTTGGTGACAAAGAGTTGTGACACTTAAGATCAACTTCCATAAAAGTATTTGGGGAAACATCATTCTAAAAATCAATTCTGTATGAATAGATTTTATTAAGGAATTCAGCCTTTTTGAAGAAGACCACCTGTCTCTTCCAATGAGATTATGAGAAATTATATCCAACTATCAGTGGAAAATGCAGAACAACTGATGCTCTGGAGGCCCCAGACAGTAACTTTCCTAGAGCAAATTTGTAACAACATCTATCCTACCTGATTTTAATTTTTATTCATGACAAATTCAGTATATTCAGTAATTTTATAATTCACTGTCTATGTGTATCAGCTTTAATCAAATACGTTACTGTTAATAAAGACATGGCACTTGGAAAGATGAATGACCATACATTTTCAGTTTACTTATGTGAATGATGCAACTTAAAATTATTGACATCATGGAAATACAAGTACTGGGCAAATCTTTGCATAGAACTGTACAGATCTTGGATTTAAGATCCAGTCTTGCAGTCTATTTGTTAAGGCTCTGAATACAAAAATCTAAAATGCTCTAAATTAAATTATAATCTAAGACATGCGATTATCAATCTTTTTAGTTGCCAAACAAAAAATAAATGCTTGCAATCCCAATCTCTGGTAATTACATCTCCATCTAGTCCATATAACATGAGGCTTCCCTACCTGAGATGTAACTCTCTGTGTCTAACAACCTCCAAGTTACAATTTAGCTAACTTGTCTTTAGGAGGACCACAAAACTGTCCTTTTCACAAGACATCCCTCTTCTGTTCCACTCTCCCAGCACTCAGCCGCGGTGATGATGGAGGAGGATCGTAGGAACACACCCGTTACACCTGGTAGCCCTGCCAGGCACAGGCCTTTCAGAACCGAGGATCAAGCATGCAGCGCTGTTACTGCAAACATGCACGTTACAGACAAACCAAATTGGGGAGCAGATGGACCGCCGTGAATTCTTCAGGTAAGGACTGAAGGAAACTCCTGCCACTTGGTTCTTTGCATTCTTCTCACAACTACTTTTTTCAGTTTAGGAAAGGGCAAGGTGAAATGACCCCATGCCCTATTCTGAAAGCCTTCTGAGGCCTGAAGGCAGGACAGAGCCTCGTGAACCTTCAGAGGCCCTCCAGCCCCGTCAGGGAAACACGCGGGCAGAGGCCCTGTCCAGGCTCCCACGAGAGCCCAACCACCATCACACCGTGAAGGGTTTGTGCTACACAGGGCTGAGTGATCGGCACCCGGACACCGAGCGAGATGCTCGTAGGTTGGACTGTCTGGCCCCATGCCATGATTGATCCTTCTCGGGTGTGAAAGATCAGTGGGAGTAGCTTGCCAACTCAATAGCTTTATCTGAAATAAAGATAATGCAGCCAGACCACTCCACAACAACTGTTGCAAAAGGGAGCATCATTTGGCTGCAAAAGATGATGAACTGAAAGATTTACACTGAACAAGCACCACCCTTTCAGAGGGGCCAAATGTATTTTTTTACCACTCACTGAAAAGAAGTGCTGCTTTGGAATCCTCAGGCTCTTGAGTTTTTTTTTATTATTCTATGGCTTACAAAGTAGCTTTCAAAAGCTTGTGTCACCCACTTGGTTTACAGAAGACTTGCTTTTTACAAGATGAATGTAAGCAATATTTAATTATGCAAGCCTAATTGTATCCCTTTATTAGTAAGCCAAGATTATAATTGTCCACTGCACTTCATTTTCCTTAGCAAAAACTACCATAGCGTCTGTGTCTTTGAGGGGCTTCCTTTGTTTTATTCTGGTTTGGTTTTTTGTTTTTTTTAAGCGAAATGATGCATCACAGTAATCCTCAGCTGTTTGTACAGAGTACAGTTAACCAGTATTTACAACAGCCATTTCTGTGGTAGCAATACTTGCCAGACAATACTGCTAGTCAGCTACAAAGTTGATTACATATATGTACAACAAATATACTGTTAACAAGACATAAACTTCCTGTACGTTTGAGCTTGAAAGATACTCCCTTCTTTCTGACCTGAACCATATATTTACATCTATATACACATGTGTTCAGACTGCCTTCTTTATACAGATCTCTAAAAGAGGAAGTACTCCATCAGAAATGAGGCATGTGCCTTATGGAAAAAAAAAAAAGTTTAAAAAAGTCTTCAAATTACATCTGAGAGTAATTTTAGAGATTAAGTATTTAAAGATGCTTATTACCACCTTTCTACTGAGCTCCAAACGTGAGAAAATGAGGTAGAAGTTTCCAACATTTTCCAGCATTTTGGGCACTAGAAGCCAAACTCTTAACATGTTTGTGAAACGTATCTACTGATCTTACAAAAAGCATGGGGTTTTTTTCAGCATATCCCAGTATTATAGATGTCACATGGAGCAAAACGCACCTCACAAATCTTTCTGTCAGCTGATTTACAAAATCAAATATTTCATGCCAGTTCTGTGCTACACTCCCAGATCTGAAAAGAAAACAAAAACACATTAGTAGGCCTTATTTAAGGAAACCAGACAAGGAAGGGTGACAATTTCAGTGAGAAATTAGACAATACAAGACTACTTGCTTTTCTAATTATTTCAAGTTGCCACCAACCCCGGCTCCCAGCGGTACCCGCGTGCGATTTTTGTCAGGCTAAGGCACGGCGAAATGCATACGTTAAACAGCACCCCGGAGTGAAAAAATACATAAACAATCTCGCCGTGAGGCCCAGCAGCATTGGTTCTCTACCAAAGCGGAGCCCTTGCTCCTCCCGCTCCCCCCGCAAACGCAGGGCGTGCTGATGGCGATCTGTTATGTACAAACTTCGCCACAAAAAAAAAACATGATAATCAACAGCTGTTGAGGGGGAGGGGTGGCAGATGCTGCCGGTCGCTCGGGCTGCCTCGAAACTGTCTACCCGCGTACTTTCGGTCAGAAAAATGTGCCTTCTCTAAAATCCTCTTCCCCACGAACTTCACAGTTGCCACGGACGCGCGAGGGGGGGGGGGGGGAGGGGGGAGGTCAAACACACCCCGACCCCCCCCACACACCACACACACACCTTTCAGCAAGGCCACGGCGAGTGCCGAAAACTTTCTGCGCGCCGACACGGCCCGTCACCCCCGACCGCCGCCGCGGAGTGCCCGTGTCGCGGGTGCCGCTCCCCACCCCCCCCCCCCCCCCCCGCGGCTCCCCAGGCACGGCGGCGGGCGGCCGTTAGCCCGCGGCGACCGTTAGCCCACCGCGCGGCAACGGCGGGGCCCCCTCAGCCCCGCGGCGGCTCCAGCGGCCGCGCACGGCCGGAACAAAAGCCGCCCCCCCCTCCACCTCCCCCCCCCCCCCCGCGGCGCCCCGCTTACTTGTCCAGCACGAAGTACATGTCGAAGGCGCCGTGGCACGACGGCCCCTCCGGGGCTGGGGCGGCGGCGGGCAGCAGCAGCAGCAGCAGCGGCAGCGGCAGCGCCGGGCCGCGCGGGGCCAGGAGGCTCGCCATGGGGCCTCGGGGCGGCGGGACGCGGCGGCGAAGAAGGGAGCGGTGGGGGGGGGACGCGGGCGAGGACCCGGCGCTGCCGTCCTGCCGCTCCCCGGGCGCGGGCGGTGCTGAAGTGGCCGCCCCTCGCCCGCCGCCGCGGCTCGCCCGGCCCGGCCCGGCCCTCCCCGCCCGTCAGCGGCGGCGGCGGTTGCCTCAGGCGGGGGCCGGGGCCGGGCGGGCTCGGCGCGCCCCTCTGCGCCTGTGTGGCGCGGCCCGCCTCCCTCACCCGCCCGGCTTCGGCGGCCACCCGCAACTTCGGCTAATGGCGACCCCGCGTCGTTCCCCGCTCCCTCGCCGCCGCCCCGGGCGCCTCCCCGGCAGGCGGCGGCTGACCCCGGGATCGCGGCCTCGGCGGGAGCCTCCCTCCAACCCCGAGCTCCGGCGCGGCCGCGACCTCTTTCCGTGGGACTGGCTGTGGGCTCCGCTCCCGCCGGGCCAGCTCCCGGGTACCGGCGCGGTGAGGTTGCGGGGTGGGGGGGGTGGGGGGGGAGAGAGGAGAGGTGGCGGTTTCTGAGGCGCGAAGGGTCGTCGTGCCGGGCCCCCCACCCCCCGCCGTGCGGCTGGATGGAGCCCACCCGTGGACTGGTGACCGAGGGAGCAGAAACGTCCCCTGCCCTGCCCGGACGGGTTCGGCTCGGTTTGTGCAAAGTTTGAAAGCCCCCGAGAGCTGACAGAACGGATTGCGACATGGTAGGGCTATGTTATTCCACGCTAACGACGAAAACGTGTGATTGAAACAAAACCCATGGGTCTCTAAGCTTCTCGTACTCGGGGAGGGCGGGCGGTTTCCCTGATCAGCTCCTCTAAACCGCGTCCTCGCCGGGGTTTGACATCCAACCTGTACGTGAAGCCACTGTGTGTCAGCTGCCCCTCTGAGGACATTTAACCAGGAACCTCCTGTCACCCTCTTTTTTTTTTAAAAAAAATTATTCTTTTAGTAAGCCTTAGGGTTCTTTGCCAGAGGCGCTGAATGTTGAACATTTTTCTAAACCAGCAGCCGGCTAAAAGCTGTTGCAATCCGTGTTCCAGCCATACATGTTAGCCATTTTCTCTGTGTTAGAAACTGGCTACGATAGATCCAAACTGTTGCTCTGGGACTGTGCACGTGGTAACTACCAGAATGTACTGATTTACAATAGACTTTGCAAAACTAAATATAGAGCAGACATTTGGTTTGAAGCAGAAGCTGGATCCTTTGCAGTGAACATGAGGCACTGTAGAAAGCGTCGCTTTATGCTGCAAGAATATTATCTTTCAGATTTTTCCATCTGTGGTTTCAGATACTCACAGGAAGTTCAAACATGCTTAATAATCTTAAAATATTATCTGAAGGCTAAAAAGATGCGTGAATTTTCTGTGAAGAAAAATGCTAGTCATGTGACAAGCTGCATAAACCAAAATTATCTCGTAAGTTAAAAATAAATGTCTAGCCTCTATTTCTTTGTTTCCTTTCTAGAGTTTTCTCCACGAGCGTTATGTGACAAGCAATCAGGAAGACTTGAAATAAGATTGGTTATTCTTTTTTTCACCATTTGTGTGCCCAGAGCTCTGTTTTAATAGAATCTACTTTGAGCAGCTTTGACTTACAGTGGACTGCATTCACCACCACGATGCATGGAAGCTCAAGACGCAGGGCTCTCAAGCATCAGAGACCTCAGGAGACTTCTGATTAGGAGCAGATTCGGGATTCTCTCTCATAACGTGTTAAGTTACATTTTACTAGCCAAGTAATGTGCTAGAGCTCCCACAAGCCTGTCTCCCGTCATAACATCAATCACAGGAGCAATGAGTCAATAAGGCTGTCCAACTGTGGAAAGATAAAGCACAGTTCAGAGGTGTCCTGTGCCTTATGACAAAAAAACCATCTTGCCTTCAGAATCTGATGGTCCTGGCTTCTGATGTAAGTGGTCAGAGGGTAAGCAATTTACCAAGACAAAAATCCCCCAGAAATTACTGATTTCCCCATCACCTGCCATATAAATTATTCATGAGTCAGTATGCATTTGTGACTGGCAGTAAGCTGTCATGGCCTTGTGACTTTTATTAAATTAATGTTTTATGGGGCCGCATAGAGGATATTACCTGGAACCCTACCACTTGTTCCCAAGATGCTCTTTTTTTTTTTTTTTTCCCCTCATAACTATCTCATTTCTCAGGTTGACCATCTTATTTACATCTCCCTTTTAACAGCCTCGGCTCCGTTGTCTGTTTTTAATTTGAGTTCCTCGTGTGGCTAGGCATCCTGCTGGCATTACCCAGAGGTATGGGTGCTGCAGAAACCTTCCTGCGGGAAAATGCTCTCGATGTAGGGATTGCAGGGCACAGTCCCCGGGTAAATACAGGTGAGAAGGGGGGCAGTGATCCTCTCAGGATTTACGTAGTAAGTATGTCCGTTTCCCAGCAGCGTGGCTGGCGCTCCAGCCACCAAGCCACAATGCTGTGTCTTACAGCAGGTTGAAGGGAGGTGAAGCTAAGTGTGTCTTTGACTGAAGAAGGGTCATTAAAGGAAATTTAAAGGAGAAACACATTGTTTGTATTTCTCTCTGTCAAGAACTGATGTGGCTATTGTGCTTCCAAAAGCACAGCTTACTGGAAGCTTCCATAATGGGATATCTGTTTTACTGTGGATATAAAGGCTGGCATACTGCTCAGGAGAGTCCCGACAGCTTGAGTGTCATTAATAGGTGAGAAAAATACACGGGGGGGGGGGGGGGGGGGGCGGGGAGGGAGGGCTGATCTTTGGTACCCTCACTGAGCCTCTATCTCTCCATCAACATCTTCCTTGTTCATGAATGATAACTTACAAGAAGAATCCTGCGTCAGTCACGCCAGCGGTAAGCTGGCAGAGTTGATATTTTCAACATCCATCTTCTCCTTGTCACTTCTAACAGACAGGTTTCCCATGCTGAATTGCTTGTTGGAATGACAGGACTCCATGCAGAATTATCAAGTATTTTCTTGCTAAATTGGGTCACAACGCAGTCCCACTGCTGTGAGATCAAACAAATTATTTCTGTTTTCCCAGCCGCAGACTTTTGAACAGCCTTAGTCTTTACACAAGTACTATTTCTTATAGAAAGAATGACTTGAGGATTGCAGATTGCTGTCAGCATTCCCCATGTGCAGTCATGTGTCATAGATTAAGCCTCGAACAAATTTAATGTTGAATATGTACTGGTGTTACAGTATATTCTATTCCTTTCTATATCATTTCCTTTCGCTCTCGGTGCAAATAAAACAGATGAAGGGGCTCTGTCACAAAGTTAGAATGGGAGGACTGAAAAGAGCTTTGCAAAATGAAGTATGTGAAATAAATACACCAAATCACATGCAGTTAGAATTCAGTCCTAACCTAGACCATATCTGCACATCTTAGTCTACCAGTGATTGAAAGTTTCGTCTGCACAAACACAACAGAATTGTTTTCTAACCAGGACAATGACCTAAACAAGGATCATGTGGCTCTCACAGGCCACGTAGGTGAATCAGACACATCAGCTGCTCCGAAAAGGATCTTGAGCCTCATCCCTCTGCAAGAGGAGCTGGGAAAGTCATAGTCAAAGGCGGCCTGCTGGAGATCTTTCATTTCATCCCATTTCCTGCTGTCTTTGGAAGGTTTCCTGCAGGCACAGGGCTCTGACCTGACACAGCCATGTCAGAATGCCTTCTCCACGCCAATCCAAATGCAGAGCCAAGCTCTGTACGATGCAAGTTGGAAATTTCGCAAAAGTCTGCGGACCAACAGTGATTTATGTCAGCCGAAGATCTGGCTCATGAAGTTCTTAATGTCTTTGAGCTAGCAAGGGTAAAGGGTAAGTAAGCAGTATTTTACAGTCCCCGTGGATGCACAAAACATGGAAGATTAAGGACCAAGCAGCCTGTGCTTTGCCAAAGAGCCTGGAAAAGCGAAGGCTGGTAGTCCATTCTATCTCGGAAATGCTGTGCAGTGCCGCCTCTCCCTCTCTCTGCAGAGGCGTGCGATGTGGCGGAGCAGGCTTTCTGAGGGTTTCCAAAACAAGCTGCACTTCAGCTTTCAGAGCTGCACGAGTCAGCCCCAAGCCCTAGGAGCACTTGCCTCAGCTGGGAGTACGTGTCATGTCATCCAGCTGTAGGAAATGTTACTTCAAGCGCACGTGACCGACTGTGTTTGGAACAAGATACCCCTGCCGTTTGGGGATTTGTGATAGCCAGGGTTTGCTCTTTTCTTCTTTCCAAGTGTGTGAATTCCTCTTTTAGCCTGTGGTTTCTGCTGAAGTAGCAGACAAATCACACCTGTTTTGCTGGGGTGGTTGGTTGAGAGGGAGATAGGCAAGGAAGAGGTGCCTGACAGCAGCTCGTGGCTATTTACACGTGTTTGGCTTCATTCACACAAGGACCCAGGGGCCTCCTTTTCCAGTTCTTCAAACTCGTTAGGTCATGCTCGCCTCTTCCCCTTCTCCACGGCCACAGCGCTGAGGAAAACTTGGACTGCAGTGCCCAGCCCCCGTGGGACAGGTGTTTTTTTCACTGTGTGCACACCAGCACAGGAAGCAGAGCACAGGGAAACGTGATTGCCCTGACAACTGTTTGTGTACTAATTGTCAGAAATACAGACTTGTGGAGCTGAGCAGAGAAACACTGCAAAAAGTTCCTTAAATGGGACCCTCGTGCTGCTCCCTCTGGTGCCCGTGGAGACACTTGCTTATATCCAAGGAGCTGGATGGGGTGTCAGTATCTTGCCAGGGCAGGGAAAAAGATCACGTTACACAAGGAGGAGGGGAGCCCTCATGCTCTTGCCTGTATCGAGGGACCAAGGCCAGCTGCAGAGCTCTGCCCCAACACTGGCCCAGTCTCCTGCTGGCTCTGGGTACTGGTTCCATATCTGGAGTAGCAACAGCTTCCCCTCGCTCACCATTCCATTGGTTTCGAGTGGAGCTCACTCTCACAAGGACCTCCTTTACACTGATTTCTTGGGCCACAGTATTCACCAGTGGCTGAGAGGTCAGGGAAAACAGAGGAACCAGGGAGAAACCGTCCTCAGCTGCACTTGGTATGTATAAGGCTGACAGCATTTGGAGGAGCCATGTAAAAGAAACATCTCCCCAAAATATGGGCATATCTAAAATTTCTTGAAGTGCATAATGACAACTGGTCCCTTTCAGAATTTTCCTACTGCTCAGAAATGATAGACTTTTGTTTCATCTCTGTCCACTGTTCAATCTGGGGAAAGAAAGGTGGGTCTGGCACTATTTTTTTCTGCGGGGACATAACCCAGACAGACCTCTACACCACAGGAGGACACTGCAGCGATGTGTCCATGCTCCTGCCATTGCAGGACCCTCAGGTCACACATGTCCTGGCTTTGGACAACCAATCTACTCAAGCAAACGCATTCATGCTTGATATCACCACCTGTCTCATAGCTGCACAGCACTTCTCAGCTTTGGGACGTGGCCAAATCAAACCTGGCGGATTATGATATCCATCGTAAGCTGTGAGACTATGCTGTATTTATGTGCTTGGATAAATGAACAGAGAACTACAACTCAGGCGGTGGTCTTCTGATTTTTTGCTTTCTCACCTGATACTGAGGAGCCATATTTTTGTTATGACAGATTCACAAGGTAGAAAAAGACTATTTCTACTTCTTCTGAGGATCCTTTTCTTCTCCATGCAGCAAATACAGATAATGAAAGGAAGGTGTTAGCTATTCTAGAGCAGGGAAAGCTGTGGTCATTTAAAACCGAACTCTTAAACACAGCTTAAAAGTAACCCAGCAATAGAAGCAGAAGTTTTCACGTAGAAAGTCAATGCGCAGATGAACATAAGTTTACCACCAAGATTTACTGCACAGAACAGTACAGTACAGTTTACAGTACATATGGGTTTATACAGCTCCTTTCTTCAGCAGATGATTTCCCCACATGTTGACCCTTAAGACCCACCCACTCCCACCTCCTTTTTTGGCCCAGTCTGGTTGGGAAGACTGTAGGTGAACTTCGTTTGTGCCAAACTGAACTCAGCATATTTCAGAAGGAAGTAGTTGGAGCGAAAAGTCCACATGTGACTTCAATGTAACCTGGCTGTAAGCCTGCCCCTGCCCTCGGATATTTGTTAATGCTGCAGCAGAAAGATGGTGCTTGGTGGTGGGAAGTACTTCATTGCTCCGGTGAGGTGACCTCAGCAGGAGAAGAAAGGAACTTTGGGCGTAACCAAAGTCAAACAGCAGGTTGGCGATGGCACAGGCAGAGGGTCAGGAGGTCTTTGTTGCTTGTTAAATTCAATTCTGGTCCAGGATACCTCTGTACAACAACTGTGAGACAGACTGCTTACTACAGGATACTCAATGAGTGCCAAAATTTTGCCTGGGAAAAAATTAAACTTGTGTGTGTATGCGGCAGCGGTTCTGATTAATTAAATATACTTGCTGATTAAGGTCCAGATTTGCTGTTCTGCCACAATCTACTGGAGCAGGGCGAGAAGGGAGAGCCGAAGGTGTCCTGGTCCACTCCACAGCTCCAGCACGCCCTCGCGGCGTGCCGCCTGCCTGCTCCGCAGCAACGGCTGCTGGTAACGTGGCAGCAGGCACCAGCCAGCTCCTTGAGACCCTCTGAGCTGTGTGAACTGAAGGACGGGGGCCACGCTGATATGAACCCATGAGCCATTCTAGCTTGAAACAGAATTTGACTCAAGGCAGCTCACAGGAAAATATTTTTCTTCTCTCATCACAGGATATAAACAAGACATGGAAGTCTCCCGCTTTGCAAAAGAAAAGAGAAACCAGACTGACTCCAGGAGTTATACAATATGCAGTAGTTAAGTTATTCAGGACCTGCCTCCTGGAGGATTAGCAATACAAATCCTTTTTCCCCTTTACAGATGTAGCCTCGTGTTCTGTGCTTATTCTGTAAATTAGTGTCTAAATGAATAAATAAAAAGGCTAGCATTAAGTAACACAGAAACTCTCATGTTAGTGTGGTGTTGCATGTATCATCCAGATGGAAAGTATCTGTCTAGACAAATCTGGGAATTATGCAAGCTCAGAATTCCTGAATAACCATTCATTTCCAACATCATTAAACAGTTTGCAATACCCACTGAAAATACACACAAAAATGCAGGGGAGAAAAAAGAAATCCCCCCGAAAACTAGCAAACCTAAATATTAGCAATATGTTGGATGAAAGATAAACGTGAGAATGCAGAGCGATGCCACTAATATATGCACCTTGAACCACTAGTTGCTCAGACGAGCCAGGCGTGCTAATTGGTACTCCTTCCTGGTCTCAGCAAAGGTGGAGAAAGCTCCATTATTTTTTGGTGTGATTATCTGCTGGCTTATTCCCTACATGGGGCACAGAGCTGTTTGTTCCCACTTTTGCACAACTGTTTGTTTCCACTGTGCTCAGATGAGCAGAAGGAACAAAAACAAAGAAGGAAAGATGGGCTGTCCTGGTGCACACCATCTCAGAATAAGAATAAATCCATCTTGGCCCGGGAGAGCAAAGAAAAGCACAACAGAAAACATGGAATTCCTGCTCTGCC